CCAAGCTTTATATAGCTTAGGGCCTCACCAAGTCTAAATCCGGCGCTGGGTGGATCTACAACAATGGAACAATTTAAAGGAATATTATCATGAAATCAGAAATACACTAAATATTTAAATATTTTGTTTTTGTGTATTGCAGTAACCCTTAGCTTCACATAGCTTTTTATCAAATATTAATTATTATTATTTTACTATTACAGAGCTAACTAGCTATGTCCACCGTCTATTACCGCAGTAAACCAAGTCTGGTGTCTTCGAAATTTTAACTTTATGTTTAGTTACCGACCTAAACATAAATATGGTTGAGTAGTACCAATAAAATGGTATTTCCATAATGATTGTGTGGTGTCCAATTATTTATCCATCTGTAATAGAAATCCGGACTTCAAATGATGCTTTTAATTGGTAGTTTGCTAATATTGTCAAGAGTTTAAACTAAAACGTTCCTTTAGGATTTTTTTTGTGGATAGGTATGACTGGATTTCGGAACTGTAAAGTGTTTTTGAATTCAATTTTTTTTTGTTGGTTCAAACTATATTTTTATTTTCTGATTTAATTCAAAGTTTTCTTGGTGTAATACCTGTTTTTTTTCTTTCCTTTAATAGAACATTTTTGTACGATTCATCTATGATTTTGTATTCTGCTTTAACTCAACTTTGTGTTAACATAAGGTTTTCTCCTTTAATTTACCTCTGGTCTGTGTAATATCTAAAAGGTGAATTAAAGGATAAAATAAAACATAGATTACACCAATAGAAAAGGTGAATTAAAGGATAAAATAAAACATAGATTGTATTATAAAAGAAAAAAAACATACACGCCCATTACGACAACACAAAGTTTATTAAAGAAGAAAACATAACTTATATTAACAAAAAGATTGAATTAAAGACGAAATCAAAAACCTATTGGTGTAATCTATGTTTTATTTTATCCTTTAATTTACCTTTTTATTGGTGTAATCTATGCTTTATCTTATCCTTTAATTTACCTTTTCTATTGGTGTAATCTATGTTTTATTTTATCCTTTAATTCACCTTTTTTATTGGTGTAATCTATGCTTTATTTTATCCTTTAATTCACCTTTTTATTGGTGTAATCTATGTTTTATTTTATCCTTTAATTCACCTTTTTTATTGGTGTAATCTATGTTTTATTTTATCCTTTAATTCACCTTTTTTATTGGTGTAATCTATGTTTTATTCTATCCTTTAATTCACCTTTTTTATTGGTGTATCTCTTTTTGTTTTCTCGGTTATGGTAATAAATAGTTAATTATCTATGAACCACAATAACATCATTTAGATGTCCATTATAATAAGATATTAAACCTGCGTTTCTTTAATTTATTCATATTTCCTAAATGCTACCTCACACGACGACACAATGAGCACCATGGATAATGTAAACAATAGTATTAACCATCTATGTAATATAGTTTTCTAATTTAGATGCTAGTAAGTTGGAAATCAAGAAGTCACGTAACAACCATAGCTAATATAAATTAGCGATGGAACGATATAACAATTACATTTTGACATTGGTTGGCATTTTTAGGTTGTGTGATGCCACTGAAAATTAACTGCTTTTGGGAAGGGTATGTAGAGTCTTTTCTGGGCGAGAGATGTGTTCAGATTGGAAATTTAGAATTTGCAAAACAGGGATATCTCTTATACTTAATGACATTTGAAAACGAAGAAATATATATATCAATTTGGGATACCAAGACCACCCAGAAAGAGACTTGAAACAAATCATACTCCAACCGTGTTGAGCAAAGTGTGATGTCTTATAACAAGTGAGACTTCATGAACATGAAGATCAGTGTCAAAACCTGTCTACATACCCCAGGCAACAGTACACAACAAAATCAAGAAAGATCTTCATTCAGAAAGTTTACATAAGTCACAGGTTGCTTCCATGACATATCCATTCAACTTTCGCATATCTAAATCATTTGGAAAATGAAATAGATATTCTGAAATCAACTTAGTGGTAGTTAACGATGAATTACGCGTTTAATTTGATTTTTTAAAGTTAAGCTTTGTTTACCAATCCATGGAAGACAAGAGTTTATAGTACGTTTGTGTAAAGTTGGTAGTCTGGAGAGACTATTGAGTTTCTTAGTTAGAAAGGTACTTGTAATTTCGGAGTGTAAATTAAGGTACGTGGAATACAGGTTACAAGTTCTGTTTATTAAGCACGTTACAAGGTTTCTTTTGTACGTGAACAGGATAAAGCTGTCAAATTGTGTAAGAAGTCCAGGAAACGTCTTTTTTTTTCTCAAGAAATGGATATTCATGATATTCCATAAGAAGATATATCACTCAAATGGCCAGACTTATTGCCTATGAATTTATCTTCGAAGAAACTGGTGAAACGGGCACTGGGATATTGATGTCCTTGTACACTAAATGGAGTATGGAGAGCTTGTAGGGAGGAGTGATGTGACTTAGTCTTAACAACTTTACGCTGGAGCAATGGAATATACTCTGTAGGGCTATTATCAAGATTCACAGTCGTCGAATATAGTATGACCGGATGAGACAAAATGGACGATCCAAAAGAGTTTGTTTGTAATTAAGCACAAAGCTACACAATGGGCTATCTGGGCTCTGCCCACCACGAGTATCGAAACCCAGTTTCCAGTGTTGTAAGTCTGCAGACGTACCGCTGTGCCACTGGAGGA